GGTGGGTGGGTGGGTAAAGTAACGTCATAACGTAAGATATTTTTAAGAAAATTATTTTGAATATTGGCAAGAGTAACTGCGCAATTTCTTGCGAACTTTAGCAAGGGGGGAAGAGTGGTGGTGGTTGGTGGGGTTGGTTAAAGGGGTGAAGGAGAAACGGTGAGAATTTCTTAGGCCGTTAATACAAATTTGGCAAAAGACCAGAATACCGTCTTCTTCTTCTTCTTCTTATTCAAACACACTTTCCTCTTATACTTGAAATAATAATTTCAATTTCAGTTTGTTATTTCGTTAAGTATTATTCAATTTTATTTGCACATATATATATATATTTATAAATAAATCTGTATTAAAATTATATCTTTTGATTTTTCGTTCGATGGATATTTTGCTTATTTCTCAACATTGACCTATCGATTTAATTTAAACAATCGTATTTTTGATTATGCAATATCAATACTCTTCTTTTATAAAAACAATAACTTTTCCATTTAAAATACACTTTCCTATTTTTTTTTTTTAAAATATCAAAACAAAATAAAAAAAACGTAAGTAATATAAATTAACACGTTGTCGTTTAATAAATTTATTCAACGTTTGCCATTGGATTATAAATTAGAAATAAAATGAATTGTTTGTTATCTTCGATCGATAAGATTTTCTAGTAAAAATGGGTAGGGGGAAAGAGGGGGGGGGGTGAGTAGGGTGGTTATTCTATCTTCTCGTATCCGAGGTTACACGTGCATGAATCATAATAGGGAGAGAGAACACATGTGTGTGCTCATGGCGGTGACCTTGAACAAATATCCATTCGATTAAATATCTTCACCCCTCGATCCACCCCTCTTCTCCCCGTTTATCCTCTCGAAGAATATAATTAAATTATAAACTAAATGTATTTTTTATTATCATATAATATCTATCGGAAATTTTTCAATCATTTTTAATAATGTACCATAAGATCATAAGTACTTTGTAGGTTTATTCTAAAAGAGAAGACTTTGTTCGGAAATATAAAAAAATAAAAAAAAAATAGATCGGAATGACGATAAAATCATATGACCATTATCTTGAAAAATAGTCAGTTTCTTTTCTACGACAAAAGGTAATCCTTGTTTAACCTCCCCTTACCCTCCGAAGTCAAATAAAAGATAACCAAAATGGTAAAAAAAAAAAAAAGAAAAAAAGAAAAAAAGATTGTCCATTTGAGTATTGTGTCTCTCCCCACTACTGACCTTCACACCCCACCTTTTGCACCTATGGAAAGTTTCAGTTGGCTAGTTGTTAGAAAAAAACA